CATATTTGAACGTACGAAAAAAATGAAAGATCCACCAGCCACGTCGTTTCAACTGCAACTTGGCGCCATGACCAGACGCCCAGCTCGCACGACGCAAGGGTCTCTGCGAAGCGTCGAGGCTCGATGGCGCTCGGAATTGTGTGGAATTGAGTATACTATCAATGCTTTGCTATGGTAGTCTAGTCGCAGGCGCTTCTGAAGTTGCACGGCCAGCCAACGCCGTCGCTTCCTGTGTACAAGGCCTTCAGCCACGTTGTTCTGACGCTGTTGTCGTCGCCGTGTGCGGTATGATGACTGGTGCATTTTGTTTGGCGGTAGACGCTGTTGCTGCAACTGGAGTGCAAGCAAGGATGAAAACAGAAGGGTCCGTCGAGCCACATTGGCACTTCAATTTCAAACTTGACCATCTCGAGCAACCAGTTTCTGCCCAGTATATGCAGCAAAAGCCCTGATGAGTCGGCACGCGAGAGGACAAGGGTGGTGGTCGCTAACCTTGAACGCGTCACAGACGTGGCCACCGCCGCTTTCCAGTACGTTCTCAAGCGTTGACGGAGCTGTACGGGGTGCTACGAGCACCAGCCTATATACTACAGTGGTAGAGCCCACGTAGACTGTGCCAAGGCCACATCCGAGTGGGCCCAAGCAACCCGGGTCTGGTTCGCGGAAGCGCACGCTTGCGGTCCCTCTGAACGAGCTTCGCCGCGGTTGGGCTGCGCGGCAAAAATAACAGCGGGACGAGGCCAAAGCGAACGCGGACTGTCAAGGAGCTTGACGAGCGATTTCCTACTACTAGTACAATTTGCAAGACGAACGAAACCCATCACGTTGGTACTCAACCCTTGCCAAGGGTTCGCATCGATCGTGGTGCTTGCTTGCTTCACCTCCTGCTTGGGTAGAGTCTTGGCGGTCTCTGCGAGCCGACGATCGCATCTCATTGTACGGGGAAGCGCTGCTGTGGTCGGTGTGATGGTGGCTCGATAGCTACGCGACGCCGGCGTCAACATACACGCGCCCTTGCTTTGGTCCAGCGACTTTGGAATGTGTGTTACCGAGACAGAAGGAGGATTCTGACATCTCCTTATCGCCTGAGGACAGGTCGTCGCAGCTTGAGTGTCGACAAGTCTGCGTGCTCGTGACGTGTCAGCAGTAGCACAACGAGACAAGGAGATCTTAGCGTAGTACGCGCCAGTACATAGACATGTCGACATTTTGTAGTAGTAGTAAATAGTGCCACTTAGTCCTCGTCGCGCGCCGCGAGGAGCCCCGTTTCTTCCGTCTCCGTGTCGCTGCTGTCGCTGTCCGTGCCTTCATCCTTGTTTCGCTTCTTGCCCTTCTTCTTACCCTTCTTCTTCTTCTTCTTCTTTTTGTCATCGGTGCTCACAACAGCGTACGTAGGGCCGCCAAAGAGCCGTCCGAGCACAGTGGGCAGCCGATCGCAGCGGCAACAGCAGCGGTACCACCAGCTCTCTGACTCGGGCTCGTCCTCGGGCCACTCTTCGTACTTTTCACGCATCTCGCTCACGGCGACGCGGGCGCTGAGCTCGGGCAGCTTGAGGATCTCGATCACGTCGTCGCGCAAAATCGGCGTCGCATACAGGTCGAGCGTGTAGCGGGCTATGGGCACGGCGCCGCCCGTGCCGTAGAGCTCGGCGTAGATCGCGTACACGCGCGGGTTGACGCAGCGGTAGTGCTTGGTGACGTGGAGGTCCTTGCGAAAGTCGTTGGCCGTCGTGTAGAACGACTGGTTGGAGATCGGACCGGGCAGCGGCCCGTCGTGCAAGACAAAGTTCATCCACATCTCCATCCACGACGTCTCAATGAAGAACCACGCCTCCTTGTACTTGAGCGTCGTCGAGTCGTGCTTGAGCACGAGGTCGCGCTCGAGCCGCCGCCGCAGTTCCATGTCCACGCGGACGCCGGTCGAGTGCTGGTTGGGCGCGCCCGAGAGGCCAAGCTCGGCCATCTCGATCTCCATGTCCTCTCGGTCTTGCTCCATGTCCACCGAGTGACGGCGACGCTGCGGCTCCATCATGCTGCGGCTCACAATCTGGCACGTTGCCTGGGCCAGGATGCTCGATTAGGTGCGCCTTCTTTATACACAAAGCAAGATATTCTTTTTCGTTGAAGATCGACAAGCTTCGGTAGTCTAAACGCACGCACAATTATCGCGTTGTCGCGATGCAGCGGACAACACGCGCCATGATGACCCCTTCTCCGACCAAAGAAGGTGCTCATGTCTATTGTACTCTATTTATCCCGTGGTATCGCAGCGCTGAGGTGTGCGTCACGAGTACACAGCGGGTTGGCGCGGATGCTTATGTGGCGTGAATGTAGACTATCACAGCCTCACTTCGAACAACAGCGTACGTACTCTGTGAAGTGCGCTTTGACAATCCCACCAATCACAAGTCCTAAACGGCTTTTGCCACTTCTGATTGGGCAAAACATGCTCCGTCGTTTGGGCCAATGAAAAAGTGTGCACCAATTGACCACCAAAACCATCATCGCCATGGCCAGCCCCTCCCGTGCCGACCAGCCCACGCCGGTGACCGCGCCGACGCCGACGCAGCTCGACGATATTACGACGGCGTTCGTTGAAGACGACGACGATGATGACGACGAGGACCTCGAAGGCGACGCCGAGATCGAGCTCGGCTTTGTCAGCGATATTGTAGCGGGCGAAGAGCATTTGGCCGGACCGTTTGTCAACTGGGACGGCGGCAAAGTGGGCGGTCAGCCCACGTGGCTGGACCCGACCGTGCAGCTCGACGTGCTTTGCGTGTGCGAGACCAACATGAGCTTCCTTCTGCAGATCTACTGCCCGCTGGACGCACCGGCGGCAGCGTTCCATCGCAGCCTCTACGTGTTTTGCTGCCGCACCAAGGGCTGCCCCAAGCTCGGCCAGTATGCTTCTGGACCATACTGGTATCGTACTCATGCCATGTGTAGCGCCCGCGCCTTCCGCGTGCAGCTGCCCCGCGAGAACGCCTACTACTCGGACAAGGAAGACGACGCATGGCGCAATAACGTGGCATCCGTCAAGCGCTGCGTTGTCTGCGGCCTCAACGGCAAGTTTGCCTGCAGCGCGTGCCACGTTGCACAATACTGCTCCAAGGCGCATCAAAAGGACCACTGGAAACATGGCCACAAGACCGACTGCGCCGCCTGGTACACACCTAAGTCGATCGACGTCTCGCCCTCTCATGCACGTTGTAGCGCCCAGCAGCAGACACTGGTCGTCTCGGACGCAGCGGCGCAAGCGATGGAGGATGACGGCAGCGCTTTTGTGTTTCCGCAGTATGCGATCCACATCGAGCAAGAGCCCGATCGCACGGTCGCCCAGAACGAGTCGGAGGCCAAAATGATGCAAGCGTACGAGCAAGGTAGAGTCTTTGCCTTGTTTTGCTCGAAGCACGCAGATAATCTCATGGGCTGTAGCCCACTTGCAACCCCGTGGCGACGATGTGTTTACGGACGACTCGGAGATCGACTTGTCGCAGAAGGACTTGGCGTCGATGCTCGGAACGACGACGCAAGACAAGACGTACGTCGGGTTCCTCACGCGCGTCGCGCTCGCCAACGACCAAGTGCTGCGCTACTGCCGCTGGGACGACGACGAGCCCGTGCTGTGGGTGCACTCGGAAGGCAAGGCAAATGACATTCCGAGCTGCAGCGTCTGCAACGAGCGTCGCCGCTTTGAGTTTCAGATTATGCCCCAGCTGCTCTACCACCTCAAGGTGTCGGGCGACCTCGACTCGCTCCAGAACGGCGCCACCGACTTGGACTGGGGCACGCTTGCCGTGTACACGTGCCCCAACAGCTGCAGCCTCCACCAAGCAACGAGCACGAACGCCGACGTTGTCGAAGAGTTTGTGTGGCGGCAGCCGCCGCACGAGCAGCACCAGGCGCCGCAGTAGACGACGAGATCGATTAAACCTTCGCAAAACGTATTGGCGTTGATGCCTTGAATGCTTCACGGAACACGCTCGATCGATCAGTCGCTACCACTAGTCATCGCTAGTATACTAGCTCTTCTACTACAGTATGGCTCGTTGGTCACTCCGTCATAGAAGGACTCGGATCAAGCACCGGTTTCCTCCAAGCCAAGCCGCGTTGGCTGGGCGGCTCGTCGATCCCAAAGGAAACCCCTATCGCCTTCTTCATCCTCCCACGCCGGCTGGCCTATGGCCTTCAGACTGATGTCGACCCTCCCGCACTTTAGTACTTACACTAGTATTAATACCAGTACTAGAGTCGTCGAGGGCATAATTTGCCCTCGACGACTGACGTTGACCCTCCCGAACTTTAGTACTTACTTTTAGTATGCATACTAGTGCTAGAGTAGTCGAGGGCCTATGGCCTTCAGACTGACGTTGACCCTTCCGCATTTTAGTACTTCCACTATTAATACCAGTACTAGAGTAGTCGAGGGCCTATGGCCTTCCGACTGACGATGACCCTCCCGCACTTTAGTACTTAGACTAGTACTAGAGTAGTCGAGTAGAGTGCACTTCAGCAATGACACTGGCGGCAGTGGTTGTAACCGGACGGTTACGACCTCTTTTGTGGCAACTGGTGTATTTTTAAAAGCTCGGTCGGTCCCTCACCATGTCGTCGATCCGGGTCCGCGCGACCAACAAGGTCCGCGCTACGATGGCGTCTTGCGGCTCACGCTGCGTAGCTCATGGCCAAGCTCGGCGCGACCAAGCCGAGCAAGAACACGCAGTTCGACATTGCCGCCGCCGGCTTTGAAGAGCTCCAGTCGGGCGTCGTCAACCTCGACAACGCGCTGCAAGGCTTCATCCTCTCGCTGAAAGGTAGCAGTGCAATGCCCCGCCATCTCGCTTCTCATGCGCGTCACAGGCTTTCACGCGTCGGCCAACGTCCTTTTGCGCGCGGTCGAGGACGTGGCGAGCGTGCGCTGCTCGGGTAGGCCGCGCTCTTCTGTCGCGTTGCCTCACCACCGGTAGACAACATGGGCACGGCGCCCGAGGTGCGGCAGTTTGTCGACGTCTTCAAAGCGTGCTCGCTCAGCATTGACATCACCAAGCTCACCGAGCTCGTACGAAACTCTGAGCGACGCGCCGTACCGTCGTATCGATAGGTCAAGACGTTCGAGACGCGTGTGCAAAAGCCATCGCAGGGCTGGCTCCACCAAGTCGCGCACCTCAAGTCCGAGATCGAAGACTTTAACGACAGCCACATCACGTTCGACCACTACACGAAGAAGGTGCAGACGCTCCGCGATGCCCACAACAAACGCGCCGGCGCCGGCAAGCAGGAGAAGAGCAAGGACGTCGACAAGCTCCACCGCGTACACCTCGTGTCTTGTGCTAGCGCTGGATTCCGAGTCGTATATCGAGTAGAACGAACAAAAGCTCGTGACCATCTCGACCAACTATAACAAGACGTCCGAGAAGACGATCCAGGACCTCCGCACGTTTCTGCAAAACCGCGACGCGACCTTGCTGCCGCTCGTCCAGCGTGTACGACGCCAATGACAACTTGTCCAAAGTTACGATGACCGGTAGATCATTGAGTTTCGCCTTGCGTATGCCAAGGACGTGTACGACTTGACGGCCAAGCTGGACCCGCTGCTGCGCATCTCGACTTTCAACGAACACCTCTCGCGCCTCGAATCGTTTGCACCGAGCGGCCACGACAGCGCGATACCGGCGGCGACCCGCACCGACGACGAGCCGGAGGTGCAGGTGACGACGCTGAGCTTCAACGATTTCGTCGGACCGACGACCGAGGCGCCACCGTCGGCCGACTTTTTCCAGGCACCGGCGACGCAACACGGCAGCGTCACCTCGTCCCACGCTACCCACTTGTCGTCGGGAAGTTCGTGGCAAGACTTTAACGCGCCGTCGGCATCGCCGGCGTTCGAGGCGTCGTTTCCATCGGCGTCCGGCAATCACATTACAACGAGCGCGGTTGCCGGTAGTCGCACGAGCTTTAACTCGACGACGACCGCAGCGCGCACCGGCAGTATCAAGGCCGACGGAGGGTTTCCAGCCTTCCATGCGCCGGACGAAGCGGGGTTCAACCCCTTTGCGGCGACACCGCCGCCGTCGTTCAGCGAGGCGCCGCCGATGAATCCATTTGGAGCTTCGGCGTTCCCTCCGCCGCCGCCGACGACGCCACAAGACTCGTTCAACTTTATGCAGTAGCCGTCGACGCTCTGCCTCTATATACATATATATATATATACTGCATAAACAAACAAACGAGCTTGATCAACACGACAACACATGACGGTCTTAGGGCGACGTGCGAAGGAGGTTGATGGCGCCGGCATCGTTGCCGACAATCAGGCACGGCCGCAGCGTCAGGTGGGCCATCGCTTGCACGCTCCACTTGGGCGTTCGAAGCTTTCCGTCGCGCTGTTTCTCAAAGAGCGTCTCGAGTTCGAGACGCGTGCGACGACGCACAACGTCGGTCGTTGCGAGCGTTGCCATACGCAGACCGGATGCGACCACGAGCCGGTCGGCGTCGGCGGTCACCACCGTGTGGTCCAACGTCGTATCGGGCCAGTTGGCGACGGTCGCCGTCGTTGTCCACGTCTGTGTGTCCCAAAGATGAGCGATGCGATCGGCACCGATGCTCCAGAGACGGTGCGGCGGTCCGTGCTGGAGCTTGAGCACCCTCCCATCATGGGCACTCCACATTCGAAGGACGGCGCCGGTGCGGGCGTCGAGCAAGCACAGATATCCCGACGTACCACCGAGCACGAGGGTCCGGTTGTCGGTCGTCGCAGCCACAGTAGAGAGCGTCCCGAGGACCCGGGGCGCGCTCCATACGATCGGCGCGTCACGCGTTGTCGGGCGCATAATGTGCAGCGTGAGTGGCTCTTGCGCAACGACGATCGATGCGAGCACGACCACCGGCGTGCACACGATCGGCGACGGAAACGTCATTTGCCACTTGCACTGCAGCGTCGGCGCCTGGTACAAAAAGACGTTGAGACGGTCGCTCACAACAAAGTGGTGGAGGAGACTCGGCATATGTAGGACGCCCGTGATCGGGGCCGCGTGCACACTCCACTGCCCGAGGCTGTGCATGTCGCTGAGCCGCCAGAGCTTGCACGAGCCGCCGGCGCTCGCACTCACGAGCCACCGGTCGCCGTCCAGTACCGTGAGCATCTTGATGCTCGCGTTGTGGGCGTTGAGCACGCTGGAGGCCTCCCAAAACGCACTCGACGGCGTTTGCGTCCACTTGCGGCTGTGGCGCTTGGGCTTGGGCACAGAGAGGCTTCGCTGCCACGTGGTTTGCACCGCGTCTTGAAGCTTCCGCGGCAGCGAGAGGTCGAGGGCTAAATGCACGTCTTCGAAGAGCACGGACGGAAGCGGCTCGATCGGCGGCCACGCGCCGACACCGAGGTACCAGCTCTCGAGGGCCGGGAACGGCGCCAAGTGCGACGACGGACAGTGCATCGAGAGAACACACGCCTGGAGCGACGGCTGCAAGCTCTGCTTGGTGAGCGTCGGACCGACCTTGTCGCTCAGCGCCAGCACGAGCTCAACGAGGCCCGTCCATGCCAGGAGTGGCGGCAGTTGATGCGAGACACGGTCGAGGAGGGCGACCATCGCGTGCACCGACGCCGTAAAGTCGTGCACCAAGTCGAGCAGCGCACGCAAGAGGCGCGACACGACGATGACTTCCAGCTGCAGCTCCACATGCGCCTAGCACTACACCTCAGTTTGGCGCTAAAGCGAGCGTCCGTGTACCTTGGTCGGCTCGCGCTGGATCGCGCAAAGATGGGCCCCCAGGAGGTCGTAGAGCGTCGGTAAAAGCACCGCCGAGACGACAAAGTCCCCGAGCTCACACGCGATGCGAAGGATGCCCATGGACGTTGTGTGCGGCGGGTGCCGCTGACGCCAAAACGCGTCCTGGTCGTGCGTGCAGCCGCCAACTTTGGGCTTACTGATGGCATGCAGCATCTTTGGCAAAATGCGCTGCTCGGCCAAGGCCGTGCCAAGCATGTGGCTCGAGGCGAGCTGGGCCTAGTTCATATCGAATATGCACCATCGTTTGTGAATGAACGGCAACGTACGAGTGCAAAGCCGGCAACCAAGCGCACGTGAAGGCTGCCGCGTCGCCACCACTCGAGAAGCACGGGCACCATGTGAGTGAGCAGAAAACCCGAGCCCCACGAATGCCAGAGAAGCCAGAGCAGTCCGTCCGGCGCGGTCGACAGAAGCCAAATGCGCGCGCAGTCGTCGACGCAGCCTTCGTAGAGCCGCACGATACGGGCTTCGTACCGAGCCAACGACACCTCTTTGCCGAGCTTGGCCACGAGCGTCGAAAAGACGTCTGCGGCCGAAACCACGTCGCTTAAAAGCGGCGCCAGTAGCGGCTCCAAGAGCGCAAACAACGGCGTCGGCACCCGCATCGCCAACTCGTTGAGAGCCACAACGGACTCGGCCGTCGGCGATGCCTCGAGCACGTCGTAGATGGCTGCAAACTGCGGCGCAAAGAGCGCCCGGGATCGACGAGCCATGCGGTACAGAGCGTCGTCAGTCGGGTGCATCTATGAACCAGATAAGCGTGGCGTCGGTAGAGCCAGGAGGTCGCACCTCGCCTTCGAGTATGTTTTGAACAAAGTTGCCGCGAGGACACTTTGGGTCGAGAAGCGAGAGCACGAGAGCCTAGATGCAAACTTGGCGTTCGCTATGTTTGACTCAACACAGTTAGGTAGTACCTGCATCACGGGCGGTAATTGGCGCAGCGCTGGCAACAGCAGCAGCATCGCCGACGCCGTCGCCGTGTTAGCGGCACGTAGCGCCACATACGCGTGGTACGACGGCGGGGTGAAGAGCGCGTGGTGCAAGTACACCTCGGCAGCCAAGCTCGCGAGGCGAACTGGCGCGTCCGCATCGCTCGGGTAGCTCGGACGCAAGCGTATTTCGTACTGCGTCCAGGTCGACGTGTCGCATGCACCAACGATCGCGTCGTCGCGCAGGAGAATAGGCGGCTGCACCGCCCACAGTCGCACGTCGTCCGACACCTCGGCCGGCGCCGCGTCGTCGTACACTCCGGCGTCGTCGTCGTCCAACGCCTCGAGCTGTTTGATCCACGACAAGCTACCAGTGTCCCGCTGCGAGCGCACACTCATCGACGGTGACGATGGCAGCGACGTCGACGGCTGGCCTCGGCGGCCACTCGAGTTGAGAGAATCAGACGCCTTGCGCAAGGAGGACACGGTCTGCGACTTGGTCGTCGTGGCTAGCACATACGCCTCCTGGGTCAACTGGCTCAACAGCGCTGCGCTTGGCTCGCAACTCGTGCTTGCATTTGGCGTCGGGGGCACTTGCCGCGGCGGGTGCGGTGCTGCAAACAGCTGCACAAAGCCGCGCAGCGGTACGTTCTTGTGCGCGATGGCGACGTCGCCCGTGAGGCTGGCGCCAAAATTCAAGTCGATCCACGCGTGGAGGTCGCGCGAGACGTGCGGGCTCTCGAGCGCGGCGCGGTGGCACTGTAAGAACGCGTCGGGCGTCATGCCGTGGAGGTCCAGCGACGGCATGTCGTCGTGCCGTGACGTAAAGATGGTCGCATCGAGGAAAAACTCGGGAATGCACTCTTCGGGCGACCACGCGTACATGCGCGCCATCGTCAACGGGTACTCCTTCGCTTCGAAGCGGGCGCGTACAATCGACTGGAGGAGCGGCAGTGGCAGGCGTCGGGCGAGGTAGATGGCGACCGTGAGATCCGACAAGCTAGCCACCGTCTATGAGACACGCCAGGACGAGAGCGTAAATACGTCCTACTTTTCGGGAATATGGTGGCCCGTGTGCGCGTACGTTTGGTCGAGCTGCGCATCGCCTTTCATGAGCCGAAACTTGGACTGCGTCAAATCGCGGTGCTGGCCGTTAAAGTCGAGGACCCACGGTAGCACCGGGTGTACGCTGCGGTGCTTCTACCGTATATTTACGCTGGAACGTGCATTCGATCGAACGAGGAGGTATGCTGTACCATGGAGCGACCAGCGGCGTGGTTGAGCGCCAAAAGATAGTCGAGGTTCGAGACGTCACCGACGCGCCACCGCTCGAGGAGCGACCGAGGGTCCATGTCGTCGACGGTGCGCGACGGATGCATTGGGAAAAAGCGCAGTTGCGTCGAGTCGGCCACGTCGGTCCACTCGGAGTCGACCGACGGGAGGGCAGGGGACGTTTGGAAACCGCGCACGAGCTGGTACAAGAGAAAGCGCTGGTGCTCGTCGCGCGCTTCGTCCATACATGGCTAGCATGTGACGATAGGCGCTCGAGCTCCCTGGCGATAGACGACAGACGTACCTGGTGCAGGGCGAGGAGGTGCGCACGTAGCGACGTTGCTGCGTACGGCAAGACGAGATAGACGGACGTCGGCGACTCGAACGCGCCGAGGAGCGGGATCAAGTTGCGGTAGCGTGGAGGAAATGCCCTTGGTGAAAGCTGCTTGGCCCACGCAGGGCTGGCTGGCGTGATGGCCACGTTGCTGTAGAACATGTCCAGGTACCCTTGCAGCGACTGGCCGGTCTGTGAAGAAGCGACCTGGATGGCGCCGTCCTCGCGCGGTATGCACAGCACCTTCTCAAGGCTGCGCTCGAGATTGCAGTCGGTGGTGGTGGATGGCGGCTCGAATGCGTCGATGCCAACCGGAGGCAAGGCGACGGTCGCCTTGTCCAGCACCAAGACGCGGAGTTCCGCGCCATCGGGCGTCGCGACGCAGACGCCAACAATACCAGCGTTGTCTTCGTCGAGGTACGTTTGCGCGGTCGCCGGGAAGCAGCAGGCGATACCGAGCTCGGCGGCGATCCGCGTTCGGCGGTCGTCCCACCGCATCGCCGCTGAAAATGGATCCGCTTGGGAACACGTTTTAAACGGTTTAAAACGAATATGATGTGTTTTCTATGTGTTTAAAACATCCTCACAGGTGCAGCACCCGGGCTGGAGGTCGTGCACCGGGGTCGAGCTGCGCGTGCCAGCGCAGGTTGTCGACCGTCGCCGCGACGAGATTCCGGTTGCGGTCACTGCCATCGCTCGGCGGTTGCCGAGCCGATACCAAGTTGTTCCATCGCGCAGAGTGGGTACCTTGAACGAGTCTTGGCGCCCGGTCGATCGCCCGCATGATCGCCGGTACGACCACCTCAAAGCGAGGCACCCGCGCCAGCACGTCGTGCAGTGTCATCGTCGGCAGCGCGTACGCATCGACCATGGCGAGCACACACGCTGGCAGCGAGAGCAGGAGAGCCACCGACCATTGCCAGCAGTGTCTTCTTGGTCGGCGACGTAGGCGTCCCGAACGACGAGCCACGACATGACATCGACGCGGTCCGCAAAGCACTCGCTGGACACTGCACAGAGCAGCGCGAGGCGAAGCATGCGAAAGAGCTCGAGAGCAAAGCGAACCGACAATGGGGCGCAGAGAGGCGTTGGCGCCGAGATGGGACTCTAGCAGCAGCTCGTACGTCGTCGCTTTGGTTGCATTGCGCACAAAGAAGGCAGTGGTCCCACGCTCGAGCGTCTCCCAGCCAAAATGCACGAGCTGGGCACGCAGCCAGAGCGCGAAAACAGCGATACATGCGCGACCCGGGGGCTCCAGATGGTGCAATAATAGGCTTGGAAAGGACCTTCGGGCTCGAGATTGGCCGTGATAAAGCTCGGTCGAGACCGTTGGCAAACTCGACGTCAGCGCGTCGCAAGATCGGCGGCCGGAAGAAAGCCGAGCGGCCACTGCAAGCGCACACCGTCGACGAGCACGGTCGTTGCGCCCAGGCCGGGGTGCGTCGAGGCCGCTGCCCCGCCGGCGCGCCACCCCATCGTTGACCAAACTTCAGGTTATCCGGATGATTGCCATCGATATTCGGATACCCTCGTGGCGTACGTGGCAGCCCGCGACGCAAGCGCATCGGTCGTGTCCTGTACTAGGACTGCTGACAAAGGGATCGCTTGTCAAGCAGTGATATACAGCCAGCGGTACGCTCGAATCGGCATGAACGGAGCCGTGAGGTCCGTGGTAGACGCGTTGCCTTGGTGCGTCAAGCCCATCTGGTAGCGCGGGTTGTGGTCGAAGAGCAAGCAATGACACTGACCTAAGGACCACGTAGCGATATAAGCTTGCAAGAGCTCAGTGTCGTGCAAAGTCGTTGACGTTTACGTTATTATAGCGTGTGATGCTATCCATGTACAAGCCGACCACCCTTCTTGCTGGCCCCGACGACGACTACGATACTGACTCACGCAACGACAATGTGGCCTTAGTGGAGCGTCGTAAACGTTTGCGCGTGCTCGGCGACGCGTCCCATGGCGAGGACGCGGAAGGCGCAGAGGCACGCAGCGAGATACCCGAGGAGTGTGCCCATCGTGATGTCGATCGTGTGGTGCTGCCAGTCGGTGACGCGACTCACCGCGACCGCCATCGCAAGGCCCAGCGGCAGGAGCGCTGGGAAGAAGAGCGCTTGGCGACACCACGCCATGGTCCGTGGCGTCACGTTTGCGGGCGGATCGCGGCTATAGAGTGCCCAGAGGAGGTAGATCTACCAGCCAGAAACACACCAAATTATGGCATCATTGGACATGAACGCAGCCGCACGCACCGTCGTGTAGAGGGCCGTCGCGGCCGTCGTTGCCGTATGCCCCGACGGAAACGAGATCATGGACGCCTCGTACATGCTGCGAGGCGTCGTGCAAGTGTACGTCTTGTTGTCGGCGGAGAGGACAGGCGCGCAGACAGCGGCAAAGTTGGGGCGGAGCGCGCCGACGTTGAACTTGATGAGGTTCGCCGCTGCGATCGTGAGGAGAACCGCCTCGAGGCAGCCCAGCGAGAGATTGACAAGGCGTACGAAAAACTCCCGCCGGTTGGCGCCGACGCGGTACACGGCAAACTCGACGGCGAGGACGACGACGAGCCAAAAGATCGCCGACGCCACGCACGCCATGACGTATGAGATGGTGCTATGGTGGTGCGGGTGCGACGTCGCTTCGCCTACAAGGACGACGCATGAGTCGACGACCTTCCCTCATGGACGCACTGATCGTCGGGTTGTACGTGTCGAGGTACCGGTACGACGGCGACGTCAAGAGGCCCCACGTGACGGCCGCGACCCAAAAGACAAAGGTCATCAAGGGCGAGACCCATTGCACGTCGGTCCAGAGGCTGCGCTCGGCCACGACGATGTCGCCCATCGTGCGTCGGTTGCGGCAAAGTGAAAAATGGCCAATGCGACCAGTCGGCCAAACAACCAGTTGTTTGCTCCTTTCAAAATTTCACAACCCAGCAGCACCTGCACGGGCAGCCCACTCAACTGTACAACGCCGTACTATAAGTATAGCAGCTATACAGCCGACTCAACCGTACAACGCCTTACTAGCAGCTATACTCAGCTTCGCTCGCTTCCACGGGAGCTACGTGGAGCGGCCCTACTGTCGTCCTGCTGCATGTACCCACATCCAATTGACAAGACTCGAGCTTGACCCTGCGGGAAACAAACAGCGTCGGGCAGGCATGGCGTCGACGTCGGGTCGTGGTATTTTGATGTATCGGCAGCAGGTGGGATCGTACATGCATCGGAGCTGTGTCGTGAGAACGGCCTCGCCGTCCAAAACGAACTGGCGCTAACTTTGGCACCCACTGCGGTTAAACGACCTTGCTGTATTGCACGTAGATGAGAGCGTAGGGCCCTTGGGCTCCAGTTCTTTGCATGCGCTTGCATCCTCCCGGTGCTTGTCATGGGCCTACGTACGTACTAGCAGTAATAGACTTATCGGCATCTGTGTTGCAACTTCAATGTATCAAGCGTATCAATCTGATGGAAGACACTATGGAACCCTCGTCGTTTGCCACGAGCTTTTGTACAAGAGGTCACGCAAGGCTATTGTAGTTATACAAGCGACGTCCTTGCGGCAGCGACGTCATTATTGTCTATTTGTGGACCAGTATTATGTAGCAATGACAAACATCCACCACTCAACTACTCAATAATGTCTATTGAACTATAGATCCTACTCGAACAGTCTGTCGCTCTTACTCAAAGTAAAGCACATCGGCATCGAGCATAATGGGCCCGAAGGTAAACGCTGCGCTTGGATAGTCCAGTGCAAACGCTGCTTCGCTCATCTCAATCTCGAACGATACGACCGCACCGGCGTCGAGCTCATACGAACTGTGCAGCGTCGGTGCCTCGTCTGCGCTAACAAGTGTCTCGACCGGGGCAACTCCAGGACTTGGGGGATGTTGTGGCGTTGGGCGACGGTGGTGGATGCACTTGGCGTGGGTGCAGACGCGAACACCGCCGTGGCGGACACAGTCGTTTCGGGGCGACTTGGGCGCGTGGTGAGCACACGTCACGTCTCTGTACGTGCGCGCCCCGCAGCTCGGTACCGCACATCGATGGAGCGTCGCCCGGTGGCTCGTTGCCGCCTGCGGGCACGGCGGCACGCTGCACCGGCGTCGGTGGCGATGCGCCTCGCACGATCGAGCTTCTTCCGTTGCCATCGTCTTGCAGCCAAGTACAAAGCAAGCGCGCATCGCGAGCATTAATGTGGCCTCGAAAATATGTTTTGCCGAATGAAGTGTCTCGTTCGCCGAGCCTCTATCGCGACGCGAGTCAACATCGGTCACTGAAAGAGCGTGATGCGCAGGCGTCAGTCGTCACGGCGCAAGCGCGACACACCGATCACGCGAAAGGCCCGCTCGTGACTCACAAACTTCCCGGGTCAAAGACGCGGCGGCGCTGCACCGTCCTCTCGAGACCTGTATATAGACTGTAGCAAAAGACAAGGGATACAGGCGCATGGGGTCGTCGCGACATGGGGGCCGCACGACAGGTCGTGCCCGTGGACCGAACGGCACGTTGGTGCTCGCTTGATTTCGCAGACGTGGCCCCTCGTGTTGCCACGTACGCGCCGTAATGGCGCGACACCACCGCCAGCATCAAGCAGGTGCGCCACCGAACGTTCCAATCACCTTCGGCAAAAAACCGGAGTTTTGGCTTCCCGCACCCGGCGCTTCTACGATCCTGTTGCACGCGCACCGTGCGCACGAGTCTTCAATATCTGCACGTCACAGCGGTAATGTGAGCCGTGCGTCGGTGACTAGTGTAGAGGTGCAAGAACTGCGGCGTCTTTTCAGAGTCGTTCGTACAACACACATACCACACGGTGAACTTTCTTTTCTCACGTCGCCGCGTGTTTTCATTTCACACGTTGCCGGTTTCAGCGGCATCCGGATACGGAAGGGCATCGGTTTTGCAACGCCGAAAGGCCGTGGGGTATCTTTGAATTTGCCGCGGAAACCGAGTGGGATGCTGTCGCGACGGAACAGCCACGTGCAACCGGCGGCGCCGATGCCGAGCATGTCGCGCCGCAATAGCATCATGACCCCGCCGACCCCAGGACGAAAGAAGCGGCCGCCGGTGCCGTCGGCGGAAGCGACGACGACGTTGCCGTTGCTCGACACGGCGACGCGCGCCGAAACAGCACCGATGGGCACCAGCCACACGAATGCTTGGCCGTCGCCACGCCACGACATGGAGTCCAAAAGCGACAACAAGACGGGTATCCTAAGCCTCGAGAAGAGCCTCGAGCTCTTGGACAAGATTCTCATCGATGGTGGGCCGCCGCCATCGGGTGGTCTCCGGCCGTCGGCGCCATCAACAGCGACACTCGCGCCACCGCCGACGGCCAGACTCGAGGCCGAGAGTCCGGCCCGGCGTGGACCGTCACCCTACGTGTCGTTCACCAACCCGCAGCGCGAAGACCTGTACGAAACGATCGCGATGCTCAAGCAGGAACTTGCCAACGAGCGCGCCGCCCGGCGCTTCGACACGGCGCCGAGGTACTAGCCGACTTCCGTCATCGCAGTTGACATTTATGTGTAGTACGTACACGGACGCGGGGGACGAGTACTTTGCGGCCCTTGGGCGCAACGCCGAACTGCACGTTCGGGCGCGGAAGCTCGAGTCGGCGGCGCAGCTCATGAAAACGGACCTCGAGGTGACCAAGGCGGAGCAAAAGCGAGCGCTCGACTCGGTGAACTTGCGGGAAGAAAAGCTGCGCAATCTCATCAAGAAGAACAAGTGCTTGATGACAGAGTACGAAGTGCTCAAGGACCAGTATGTCGAAACCAAAGTCAAGAGCGTTGAAGTCCACCGCACGATGCAACTCGAGCAAAAAAAGATGGAGCTCGCAGCCCACGAGGTAACGTTTTGGGCGACTAGCTAGCCATACGCTGATCTTCTACCTACGGGCCTGTAGATGCTTCAGGAGAAGCTTCAGCTGCAACACGAAGTGGCGGTGGTCCGCACCGAGCTCAAAGAGCTGCAAAAAACGTCGGTGGCCGAGAAAGCAGCACTACAGACAACGCTCAACGACGCTCAAACCGAGCGCGACCGCCTCGTGCTGTGCCTGGCCGAGACGCGCCACCATTTCAAGCAGTGGAAAGACCGCGAGTGCAAACTTGTGGCCGCTGCGCGAAACGATGCCCGGGACCTTGCGCACGCCGAGGCGTCGGTGCGCATCGAGCGGTGCCACGACGAGATTCGACTGCTCCGCGACAAAGTGAACCAGGTCGAGCAAACCAACCAGGTGCTCCGAAAGGAGCCGGGACTGTCGCCGATGGAGCTTGCGTACCGGAAGCAACAGTTGCATGCGGACATGACGACGCAACACGCCGACCTCATTGCTCTACAGAGTCGTGTGCAGGAGCTGGAGCAAATGCTAGCGCTTTCCAAGGCCCAGCAAGAATACCAAGGCGGGATGCTCACTGCCGCCCAAGAAGCGGTGTCTCAAGTGCTCCACGCGCGCGAAGTCTCGGCGCTCGAACAACTCTCCTACATGAACCCACCGCGGACACCAAAGCCTCCTACGCCGTCGTCCGACGGCACCGAGTCGTTGCTTCCACCAGAGACTTGGATGGCGCCATCGACACCACCGGTGGGTGTCGAGAAGCCCCGGGCGCCACCGGCTACCGCACCGTCGCCACGCGTCCAGACGCAGCGGCGAAAAGGGTCGTACAAAGAATCAACACCCGGCCTGAAGCGCCCGACGCTACCGCCCCAAACCGAAGCCAACGCAACTGTCGCGTCGTGGAAGCTGGAGGTTCGCAGCCTCACGGAGCAAGTCGACGAGTACAAGACGATGGTTGTCGCGCTCTCGCATGAAATCGAAAAGCTCAAGGTCGAGCGCAAGCGGCTCACGGCGCAAAAACAGTCGGAAACCGAGCGCAAGTACGAGGCCGCGCTCACCGAGCTCCGGGCGCAGCTCGAGACGAGTCGCGCGACCGAGACGCAGGTCCGCGAGCTTTTGGTGTCCATGCAAACGACGCAAGAGGTCAAGTCGGCGCGCACGATTCAAATGCACTTGCGGATGCTCCTCGCCAAAGCGACGCTCAAGAGCAAACTCAAAGCAACGCGCGCGATCCAAGCCTGCTACAAGGGCCACAAGCTCCGCCAGACGACAAATCTACAAAAGACGACGTTCGAGGCAAGTCGGGACCGCCTGCATGGCACCGGCAACGCTCCCGTTGTATCGACGCCCGACATGGACTTGTACATATCCGTGCTCTCGATGCCACCGTGCGTCAAAATTCAAGTCTGGTCCAGCGACATCGTGTACGCCAAGTACATTCCAGTGCGGCTCTTGGGACTCTACGTGGCGCACGGCGTTACCTGGGCACGCAACGACATCCCTCGGCTCCAGAAGGCACTCGCGGCGCAAGTTTCGCTCGTGCCAGACGAGGACGACGCGCAGCAAATCCACGTGGCGGAGCTACAGCGCGTCCACGGCCAACCAGTGACCCACGTCAAAGCGATTACAAAGATCCAGTCGCGCGCCAAAGGCTACTTGACGCGCAAGACACTCCAGCAAACGCTCATCGAGCAGGTGGATACGGTGCGCCGGGTCCAAGCGCTTGTGCGCGGCTTCCTCGCGCGCCGTCAATGTGCAGCGCAGCAGCGCGCGCTCGTTGCGATCCAAGCCGCGGCTCGCGGGTACTTTGCTCGGCGATCCGTGCGCCTGCAGCACCAAGCCATTGAGAAGATTCAAGCCATTACCAAAGGCATGCTCACGCGACAGGAGCTGGAGAAACAGCGCGCCTCGGCAATCGTGCTGCAGAAGCAAGCCAAGGGCTTTATCGTCCGCCAGTCGCTGGAGCGCCGCCGCACTGCAGCCGTGGCCATCCAGACACACACACGCGGTCACCTGAAGAAGAAAGCGTACAAATCTTACCGCGTTCGAACAAAGGCGGCGACAGCTATTCAAGCCAGGGCCAAGGGATTTCTGACGCGGCGAAACTTGGACACGACCCAAGACGCTGTGGCCACCATCCAGCGCCACGCGCGCGGCTTTGCAGTTCGGCAGCAGCTACGCACTCGACAAGCGAGCGCTGTCGTCATCCAGAGCCGCGTGCGCAGGCTTCTCGCCAAACAGTCGTACGCGGCGGCGATCGATGCCGTCGCCACGATCCAAGCGGGTGTCCGTGGCTTTGGCGCGCGAAGACACATCGCGTTCCGGCCAGTACCAATCTACCCCTCGTTCAACGACGATGCTGAAGACGAGCATCGTTGGGCGGTTTCGTGGAACAAGCGCAAGTCGGTGGCGTTCCGAATACGCTGCGTCGACGCCCCGAAATGCATCAAGATTGAGGCTGTGCTCGACGGTATCATCTACAGCGCGTTCGTCAAGTACCCGCGTGTCCATTGCTACGTCGACGACGGTGCTCGGTTATTCCGCAACGACCCTGGCCGACTCAATGCGGCCTTCGAGCCGCTTTGCGCCTTGGAAGAAGTCGAGCCATTCCTCTTTAAAGTGGCTATCGCCGAAATGGACGTGTCTCACATTGCACCACAGCCGCTGCCGGCACAACGACCCACACCGAAGTCAGTGCACAAGCCACCGCGCCCGGTGCCACGCGCAGCAGCGGCAGTGCCACCTAACTCCCAGGTGTACTTGTCGACGAAGTGGGTTGATGACCCGTTGCCGCCAGCTGACGTCACTGCGCGACCGCCACCGAGGGGCAAACCGTCCCAGCCCCGACAACTAGAAAATGACCAGCCCTCTGCACAACCAGCAACTATTTCTGCAAGTGCGGTCGTACACAGTGTACCAACTTTCGATGGATTTGCTTTTGCCCACAACGCGATCGGTTCTACTGCATCATCAGGCGACACAACCGTAGATCCTTCGTCGGACGCTGCAGCACTGCCCAACCACGTCCAAATGCAAGACGCCCCAGCGCAAAATGCAGCCAACGGCATATCGTCAAGCAATGCTTCCAGCATACCGTCTCCTGCCAAGCTGTGCGCTTCCACATACGTCAGTGTCCTCATCAAGGAGGCGACAACGTACTTCATTTCGCAACGCCGACCATCGACCCCACGTCGCTATTCCTTTACAACCCCGATCGTCGACAACGCTAAAACGCTCCTGCAGCCGCCAGCTCCCCAAGCCGTCCAAGATGCGAGTCCTGCCGATGTGTCGCCACCGCTAGACGATGTCGAGACTGCACCAGCGGTCGTGGACGAGCCCGCGCCGACCAACGACTCGACAACTGCAGCAGACTCGGCTCCGACTGAACCCAGCATCGACGGCGTTGTCGAGGCCAAGACCCAAGAAGCTGCGCTGCCGTCGGACGATGCCACGCCACTGCAAACGGAAGAAGCCACCGAGATCGCGGTGGAGGAAGCGCCAGCAGTCGAGGCCGTCCAAGATGCGGTGGAACAAGCGCCAGTTACTGACATCGTCCAAGATGCGGTTGAGGAAGC